GACTCAACAATATAGCATATAAACTAATGGGAAATTTAAGTAAGAAACAATAATTTATTTATTTATTTTTAAAATCAATTTATAATAGAAATGAAAGGTGGCTGTGTTGATCCTAATCTAGAGCAGCAACCATCAGTCAGTAAGGGACCACTTCAACCAGTGGATGTCACTGCACAATCTCACACACCACAACCAACAATCACTGGATCACAATCATCTACTCCTACTACTGTCATTGAGCTCAGTTCAAAGAGTGAAGTTGCTACCAATATTGGAGGTCTTAATTCTCGTTTTGCATCTCTTGATTCTAATATAAGAGATGAGTTTGAGGAGCTGGTGGAAAAGGGTAAAGTGAAGCTTAAAGCTGTAGCTAGGAGTGCAGCAGCTTATTTAAGCATTCAAGTATCCAGTTTAAAATATGGTGATGTTGATGAATTATTTGATTCTCTTCAGCCTCATTATGATTTCTTCAGTTGTGGTGTACTTAAACACTTGACAGACACTTACCTTTCAAATGCACAAACTATACTAACTCAATACATTGATAGTGTTGATAAATTCTCAGAATCATCACAATTGAAGCACATACGATCAGTTATTGATAAAGAAGTTCCATTTTTAGATTTGTCAACCACTAAGCCAATTGTTATCAAACTAAATGGACGATGGGATGAAATGACAATCAAGAGCTTTAAAAGTGTCCTCCAATATTACTTTGAGCCAGAAATTGAAAATCTTTTTAGTCACATTTCTATCAAGAAAGGCTCGGTCATTGTTACACTGTTAATACCAACCTTACTATCACAGTCTCTTATTGATGCTATCAATAATAAAACAAACTCAATGAGTAGATTAGGAATATTGGAAGTTGCTGTTGACAATAAAGCGATTCCTATCAGACGAAAAGATGATAACAATTTTGACATTTCGCTCCATGAATCAGTTAAAGCTGGTGATAGTTTTGAAGTATCAATGCTACTGCAGTTAGGAGCTGATCCTAACAGTAAAGATGAGAGAGGAAAGAGTGCAGTAGAGATAGCTAATGAAGGAGGACACACTCAAATAAAAGAAATACTATTAACTAGTGGAGGTGAGTTATTTGATATAGTCAGTTTCATTTGAGTTGCCACAGGAAGTAAATCAATGTTTGCATCACAAAACGTCATTCCTAGCCACACCCAAAATGGTGGCAAAGTGCAAGCAAACTCTTTCATTGAGCGTTTCTTCACCTCTAAGACCTTTTATTGTCTATTTTACCCTTGCTTTGGATACTACTACCTTTCATTATAACTGGCTAGACTTTTTTCTGTCACAAAGCTGACAAAGACCTCCAATACGGAAGGTAACAACCTAGGTTGAGGGTG